TAATCACCGAACTCATTGGCCTCTATCCGTGTATTCCTCACGTACTCGAATGTTGGCGTTCGTGCTGCTCGCGTTTCACCCCCGCTGGCTGAGCTTGCCTTGCTCCGCTCGTCGTCCGCTTTTGCACCCCGCGTGCTGGCCCTGAAACCCCGTGCTCGTACCAGATGGGTAGTCTGGTTCACCGTTAATATTAGGTGGGAACAAAGTAGGACTAAGCTGGGTGGTTCTGATTAGGATAGATATAACGCAATGGATGGCTTTTTGTTAAATCAAGTGGTATCTTCACGATGTGCGCTAACCTTGGTTTCGTGCGTGGGTGGGTGCCGAGGGCAGCATTGTACACGAGTCGGAAGCAGTATCCTTAGACTAATACTCTGACGGGGTTTCTGCCATGTACAGACACGACACGGGGGCTCCGGCGTGCACACAGTGATCCCCCCCCCCCGCGTCGTATCTGTTTTGTGGGCTTGTCGAAGCTCTGTGTGTGTTCGATCGCGTGGTACTCATGCAGCCGTTTCGGGGCCGTGACTCTGCAATCGACGCGAGCGGTACTCTTGAACCGGATGGACTTGCACCGCCTACGGTCGACCAAGGTTCTGAGGACATCAACCACCACCAGACCTCAGCCAGGACGATTGATTTTTGCGTTGCAAAGGCGATGATGCGCCTATTCATACCTCCACCCTCCCAATCCCTTTCGCCCCCCCATTCTTGCGTGCCATGGACGGCACGACTGCTTCAGCTATTTCGGTGTGACCTTCTTGCTGCCGAGGTACTACGACAAGATCTCGGGCGGGCAAGCGAACTTCGTGTACATCCTCAGCGCTCTCGTCGGCGCAACGTTCATCCCGGGTAAGTCTGGCCGTAGCTCAGCGGGACCCCCGACGGCACGATCATATGGAGCAGAGGTGGTGCAAGTAATAATATTTAGGGTAGTTGGTCGTACCTGGTGGCGATGTCACGGTCGGGGTTGTGTTCACTCCTTGACTCTACGCTAAGCCTCGCTTTTCGGGCACGGGTTTGTCATGTTCGACTTCGTGCTACTGTAGTGTGCAGATCTTGGTGATCTGAGTTTCAAGCATGGAATCAGAGTATTTGATTTTTATGGGAGTAGTTGTTTTTTGTGTGTGACGCGTCTCGTTTCAGCACACCAGTAGTCGTGCCCGCGCAACAGCTGCCAAAATACGTGGTGTCCCTGCAAGACCTTTCCTGACCCCCGCTGCTAGGTTGGCACGCCAACCCTTTGTAGCAACGACCACCGACACCTGGGTTGGCGCAGACCTGCCTCTACGTTTCAGTCAACCTGCATCCATCTCAGTACGTAGATCCTTCGTTTCGTCAATACCATGTCCCCCCTCGCCCCCCGCCCCCCCCCTCTACTCCTGGTCCCCATACCAGGCGCGTTCGCGGCCATGTGGCTGTGCTCGGAGCGTCGTCTCGGTCGCGTGGGTGCTCTCAAGTGGTCGTCCTATGCCACGGCCGCCGCCGTCATTCTGCTGGCCACGACCCTGCGTGTAAAGGCCCTCTTTGCTCCGGCGTCGATCTTGACCCTGTTCATTACCAGTGAGTGCGATTGTGTGTGTGCGTGTGTTTGTTTTTTGCGATAATTCGTACTACAGGAGAGACAGGAGAGAGGCAGGATGGCGGCAACAGGTGGTACCGCTGTCCAGATTGTGATAGCAGAAACAAAGCGCTGTCTCGACATAAGCGACAAATTGACCGCGCGTCGTAGGTAGACATTTTGACGCCTTTTCTGTGCAGCCACCCTTCCATGTCGGTGTCGTAATGTTGTGGTGGCGGACTACCGTTCGGCGCTTTATTGAATTGTCTGTCCGCAGCAGTGACAACAGTCTACTTTTCCCGGCCAGGTGGTTTGTGGCGCCAAACGCCCTCGTTCGCGGCGCTAAGTAGTATTCGGCGCTCTACAGCAGTGGAGGTCATTGGTGCTTGGCTTCGGGTAGTACCCCTCAGGCCGTTCCTCCAAATGAAGCTGGGAGAACCCTATGCAGAACATGGAACAGAGGTTTCTTTCGATGGTCGTATGGTGCAGGAGGCTTTCGATGTGGATGAAGATCCGTTCCGTTCCCTGCTCCCTACCAAAGCGTGAACGCACACACCGAAGCGCACTCGCGGACCCTCCCTTCCCAACGCAAGGTGTTGGTATTTATAGTACATTTATCTACGACGAACAGGAACGGTGGGCTAGGAGCACTTGTCATCTCCCGGAGGATGCGTGAACCGTGTACAGATGATCTCGGACAGGGAACGAGTTAGAAAGTACGCCCCTCTTCCACCTCCGCCTGCTTGCCAACGTGTTCTGCCAGCCATCCCTGGGACCGTGAAGTACGTGCTGACGCCGGAGATTTACTCAACAAAGTACCGGACAGTGGGGTTGGGAAGCACGAGCGTTGTTACGCGCCTCGGAGGTGCGGGCTGTTGTGCGGTAGATTCACTTCTTCGTTTGCTACCTGGTATGAAATAGTCTAGTTGCACGGAGAGATCCGCCGCGATCATATGCCGCGTCGCTGTTGCTGGGCAGTTTGAAACGGCAGGCATGTTCAGGGTGTGGCTGCTTCCTGTGTGTGAAGTGTATCTTGGCTGTTGCCTACTCGGCTGCTGTTGCTGTTGCGAGTTGAGAGCCGGGGTTCGGTGCGGAAGGAACGGGCTGTTCCTTGTGCTGCTGCCAAGTATTCTAGAAAACCTATGCTTATCGATCATCATGCGTTCACTGATCCTGGTCGGACTACCCTGCCGGAGTTGCGTATCCATCATTACCCCAATCCTGCCTGCTTCCCGAATTGTGGGTTGCGGCATGGAGGGTCTTTCTTACTCCCACGCACAGATCCAAGCTAAGTACCACAGCACCAGCCTTGGAGCAACAACCCTAGACCACCGTCGAGCAACAGCGACGCTACGGGCGTCCTTATTAAAGTCCTCCACCCCTCTCCGCATATTTACGGGTTTGCTCATGCCGTGGTAAAACCCTCTTCGTTGTTTTTGGCCGGTAGAACGCACGTCGTTCATTGTGCTGTATCCTACACCAGTTGCCTCGTTTTCCTGCGCTCACACAACAAACACTATGGTTTATGGGCTTTCTGTGGTTACACCGAAAGAACGCCTTCTGAACCTTGGCGCTCTCTTTTTCCTCTTGTTGTTTCAGGCTTGCTGGCACCCGTACTGGCGGAGGTATTGTACGACAGCTGGGGTCCGGTCGCCCCCTTGCTGGTGTTCGGGCCGATCATGATCATCACCGGCATCGCCGCGGGTATGTTTTGAGCCTACTTTTGGTTTGTTGTTGGCGTTGTTGTGCTTCCGATGCACTAGCGGGCCGCAGCCACGCGCATTTCAGCAGACTCAATAGCAGATCCGGAGCCCTTATTTTTTTCCACGCTTTTCCTCCCGGAAAGAGTTGTCATTTTTCGGGAAAGAGCAGCCATTTGTCAGCTTCTGCAGCTGCCCTAGTTGGGATCCAAATTTTTACAAAGGACGTAGCTTAAAGGTGCGAGGAACTGTTAGGGTAGCTACAAGGGTCGAGGAGCAATGCCGTGGTTCCTTTTTCTGCCAGCGCAACCTTCCTAATTCTTGGATCAACACGCTTGGGGGTTCGATTCACTCGATATTAGGTTGTCTCGAACGAGATTGGATCGAACATCTCTGAACTCATACCTGGGTGGTTTCCAGGGTTGTTCACGGAGTAAAACCGCTCCGTGGAGTGCTTTTTTTTTTTAATTCCCACGTAGTAGAACCGGAGATTTATTTGGTTACAAATATCACGGAGCGGTGCGGAGCGGCTCATCCGAGGGCAACAGTCTCACGGAGCGGAGGGGTTTATCCATAGACGGTTTTTGCACGGAGAGGTTTTGTTTGTTTACTGTGTAGCATGAACCGCGCGAAACCGTGACCTTGAGGACGGTGCACCGTCAGAAAAAAACGTCAAACCCGCACGGATATCTGTACAAATCGACGGAGTACCTGCAACTTCGTGCAAAACGTTGGGTTTGGTACACCGAAAAACGATTTTTCCGCAAGGTGTGCGATGCTTGGAGGCCACCGGTGACACCGTACGCGTCCTCGCCGCCAGTACAGCCCAAACACACCAGAAAGCTGTCAATTAATGAATTAGTCAGAAAGGAACCGTTCCCCACGTCGATACCTCCTCGACCATTGCGTTTCTGCACATGATTCCCAATTTTGCTCTCGCTCAAATTTTCCAGTAGTAGCACTTTATTATTATTTTGTTTGCCCTCCAACAATTGCTGATAAATGCAGACATACATAAAAGTCGATCGAAAAGGCTGTCATGCCAAGCCAAATTAACTCGATGCCCAATAGCTAGGAATGTTTGCCTCTAGGTAAACGAAACTTTGGTTGAAACACTACAGCTGAACTCTAGGCACGAACCTTAGATGGAGAAAAACGAACAAAACCCCAACCTCACACACCCGAAATCAAACAAAACTCGGCCCCGTCTTCCCTGGTACCCCTGACACCGTATCGAACAGAAATCCGCTTTCCACCGAAGTGGTTAGGTTAAAGCTGTCGCACGCATATTTCGGCGCGCAAAAGTCTGTGCGGCATTGCTGATCGATACTGCCACCGGTCACACCAAGGGAGAAACATCCGCCGTCTTGCTCTTTCTGAGGCACCCCCCACTCAAGCCCATGTTCCCCCAGACCCCCGACACTGCCACCCCCTGTTCCCACTTCCTTACCACCTGCAACCACAAGGGCCAAGCCCTCCCCCCTTCAGCACTCCCGACACCGTATCGAACAGAAATCCGCTTTCCACCGAAGTGGTTAGGTTAAAGCTGTCGCACCCATATTTCGGCGCACAAACGTCTTTGCGGCATTGCTGATCGATACTGCCACCGGTCACACCAACAGAGAAACACCCGCCGTGTTGCTCTTTCTGAGACACCCCCCACTCAAGCCCATGTTCCCCCAGACCCCCGACACTGCCACCCCTTGTTCCTACTTCCTCGCCACCTGCAACCACAAGGGCCAAGCCCTCCCCCCTCAGCACTCCCGACACCGTATCGAACAGAAATCCGCTTTCCACCGAAGTGGTTAGGTTAAAGCTGTCGCACGCATATTTCGGCGCACTTTGTTTGTTAACACCACGCGCCACATGTACTCAACCAAATACGCCCCTATTTCACCCAGTCAGACTCATTCGACCTCGATAACCACTTGTTCTCCCGCACGAGCAGCTTGGATAGATACAGCTTTAGCCTTCCCAACAAAAAATACCATGACTCCGCGGGGGAAAACCGTGACTCCGTGGGAAAACCGTGACTGTATGGCGGTTTTATCCGCGGTTGTGTGACGGAGGAGCTCAAACCGCTCCGTGAAACCGCTTCTACGGGTTTTTGAGAATCCCCACGGAGCGGAGCGGTCTCTCCGTCCTGAAGGGAAAATCTCACGGAAAACCGCTCCGCTCCGTGGAGAACAAATGCTCAGCGAACAACCCTGGTACGGTCATGGTCCCGGTTGTGCGGTCCATAGTGTCAAAATTGTTTTATCCGCCATTGAGGACATCGCCGCCAAACCAAGACAGGCAGTACTTGGTAGTTTGACTACCGAGGTGCAGCCGTGCCACGAGATTTTGGGACCGCTACTCAGGGCATCCCGCTAAACAGGGAACCGCTATACCGGGACCACTGTGTTGTCATGTGCTCGGGGTGAAAACTGGCTCTATGTTTTACTTCCTCTTTCGAATGAAATCTGGCTCAATGTTTCCCTTCCTTTTTTGATGACATCCCATCTTCACGTCCCCCTCGGTGTTTGCCATCGGGGTTGGGTTTTCGTCGCTTGGCAACGA